GCCCATGATGCCTTGACTATTATCCGCAATGCCTTCAGTTTGCCCAAATTGATGTACTTCCTGCGTACATCTAAATACATTGACCCTTCTAAATTGGGCGAATTTGACGGAGCCCTGCGCACCGCCCTGTCGTCGATTTGCAATGTTCAAGTGACTGACAGTGGTTGGTCCCAGGCTCAGCTGCCGGTGCGATTTGGTGGGCTGGGGTTGCTTAGCGTGGTTCAGCTGGCTCCCGTTGTTTATAATTCTTCTGCCGCTGCCACTCTCGACCTGCAGTCTTCCCTGCTCCACCGGTTTTTTCGTTGCCGCGATATTCTTCCCCCAGTGTCCGCCCCGGGGGACCGTACGCACGTCAAAATTTTGAACAAAGAATATAAAAAAATCTTTCAAAATTTGTTGTCTTCATGCGGCGACGACTTTTCTACCGCTCGTTTGTTGGCCATGTCCAGCGTTGCCAGCTGTGGGTGGTTGAGATCGTGGCCTAACACCTCTCCAAGGCTTCAATCCCGGTTCTCAAGGAACTATCCGGCATTTCTGCGCATGATGGTAGGCGCCCGGACGGTTGCACGCTAATACCTTGGAGAGCCGGCACTGTTTTTCGCAACTAACCACATTTCGTGCTTGTTGCAGCGGTTCCTGCGTGTCTGTGTGCTTGAAAATATACAGCTGAATGCCGACATGTGCAATGAACGACATTTCGTGCTTGTTGCAGCGGTTCCTGCGTGTCTGTGTGCTTGAAAATATACAGCTGAATGCCGACATGTGCAATGAACGACAAATCAAAGTGTTAATCCATTTGTTACTTGATGTTTGACGGTTCAGTGTCACTCATCATGTTTTTGTTTTAACATACATACTTACATACATACATACATACATACATACATACATACATACATACATACATACATAACATACATACATACATACATACATACATACATACATTTTGACCAATATTTATATATATATTTTTTCCGTTTAACAGTTTAATTTAAAGCTGTTTTTGCTGTTTTTTCGTTTCGGAACTAACCGGACAACAAACAAACACAACAATCAAATTAATATGGCTTCAAAATGTTCGAAAACAAAATGTGTGAAATCAGGTAAATAAAATTTGCAATGCATTCAATGTTTTCAGTGTCAAAATAGTTTTCACGTAAAATGTGTTGGTTTGAATGGTTTGAGTGATGAAGCTTTTGAAGTGACACGTGGTTTCGATAGTTTTAAATGGTTTTGTGATATTTGTCTGAAAAAGTTATGCAACGTTAAAACTCTCTCTAATATAGTCAGTGACAACAATGATGAAATAAACTTAAAAGTCGAAAAAATTATTGAAAGGAACGGTTTTCTAAAAAATGAACTTAAATTGTTAAAAGAGATGTTGAACAGTAACAGTGCAAAATTAGATAGCCCTGATAGGCCTGTTAGCAAGTTATCTGCCGAGATCAGCACATTCAAAAGTGATTTGAAATCTTCTTTTGCTACTGTTGTTGGCCAAGAAGTGAAGAAAAACATTGAGTGTGTCAATCTGGATGTTAAAACGGTTAAAAGAAAATTAACTGAGCAATCGATATAAAAGACAGAGAAAGAAATATAATAATTTTCAATTTACAAGAAGGTGAAGATAATAAAATTCGTGTTAAAAATATTTTGTTAAAATTGTCTGATGATATAAAAGATTCCCATATAAAATATGTTACAAGACTTGGAAAGAAAAATGAATCGTCCATGCGCCCAATATTGATAGTGTTGGATAGTTTGATGTCTAAAGAGACTGTAATGAGAAATGCACACAAATTAAAATTAATGTCGGCGAACTGAGTAAAGTCTGGATTAGCAATGACCTGACACCTGAGCAGAGAAGTGAATTAAAAAAACTGGTAGCTGATGCAAAATCGAAAGAAGCGGCATGCAAAGACAATTTTTTATACAGAGTCAGAGGTCCTGTGGGAAGATGGCGGATTGTGAAGTTCAGAAATTAACTGATGAGGGTGTTGTTGATGGGAAGGCCAATCGGAGGATGATTCATACTACAGCCCAAAAATTAACCATGAAAAATTACAATGATTATGATTTAAAAATTGGCCTGGGCCTCCCCAACATAAGATCTATAATGTCAAAGTATGAAATGGTGTGTGATATAATTCGTGGAGAATTGGATATTTTTGTATTAACTGAAACATGGCATGGGTCGTCAGATGAGTTTGCTGTTCGATGCGCGATGCCCCCTGGTTGTAAGTTTGTAGATTACGTTAGACCTCACGATCCATATCATGGCGGAATTATAATTTATTTCAAGAAAGAGTTCATTTATAAACCTGTTGAGTTACCCGCCGTGATTACTTTTGAAGCTGTTGCAATTAAATTGAGAGTAAACAAATCTGATTTTATTTTGTTATCAATTTATAGACCTGGATCGGTTCCTCCTTCACCATCGTTCTTTTCAGAGTTAGCGAATGTTTTAGAAGTTTTATCACTGTTAAGTGAGGAAATCGTTGTTGCGGGAGATTTTAATGTTTATATGGAGAGGAAAGATGATCCAAACACAGTCTCATTGAATGATGTTTTCGATTGTTTTCAGTTGGTTAACAGAATTAACGAACCAACGCATGAATTAGGTGGTGTTTTGGACTTGATCGTTACTTTTTGCTCTTTTCCTATCTTTAATAGTTTGATTTTTCCCAGTGGAGTGTAATCAGATCATGGTTTAATCCAGGTTTGTTTGTCAATCAATCAAGTTATAGGTACGATAAGTAAAAAAATGGTTCGATCCTGGCGACGCATAAATGAAGAAAATCCCCGATTGGAGGGCCATGCCAAGATGATAATATAGAAACGCTGTTAAAGATTTTTGTGAATGAACTGAAGGGAATTACAGACATAATAGCTCCAGAAAACGTGGTTTAAAGTCGAGATGATTTGTTGACGCCGTGGTTTGATGGAGATTGGTCAAAGTCCAAGGCACACTGTAGAAAAATGGAAAGGAAGTACAGAAAGACTTTAAATCATCATGATAGGGAGGTGTGGAAAAATACTCTGCGATCAAAAAATATTTTATTCTGTGGTAAATAAACTGTTGTGCAAGGAAAAAACTTCAAGTTCATATCCCAATTTTGAAGTGAACGATTTTGCTACATTCTTTTATGACAAAATTAAAAATGCACGAGAATCGATGGTGTATGATGAGAAGTTTAATCATTCATCTGGTGTCTGCTGCAGCAACTTGTTTTCAGTTTTTTCTGTTTATGACGAAAGCGAAATTGTTGAAGCAGTTTTAAACTCTCCATCTAAAACATGTTCACTGGGTTGTGTTCCTTCACACTTTTTCAAAAAACATGTAAGATTGTTTTCAAAATATTTGACTGATTTTATAAACTTATGCTTACTTACTGGTAAGTTTCCGGCTATGTTAAAGCATGCTACAATTTCTCCTCTTTTGAAAAAGGAAAAATTACACAATTCTGATCTTAGCAATTATAGACCGGTTTCAAATCTGTCGTTCTTGTCAAAATTAATTGAAAGATTAGTTTCTAAGGAGCTTATGAAACACTTAGATAAAAACAATTTGTTACCGGTATATCAGTCAGGTTATAGAAGATATCATTCTACCGAAACTGCTTTGTTGCATGTGTTATCTAAGTTGCATGAAAATATAAACAACAGTAAACCATTTCTTCTTGGATTCTTAGACATGAGTTCGGCATTTGACTGTGTCGACCATTGCATTCTTCTGAAACGTCTTAATCATAGATTTGGAATAACTGGCTCTGTCGAACAATGGTTTCGGTCGTACTTAACAAACAGAACTCAGCAGGTAATCTACAAGAATAAGACCTCTTCGGTTCAAACAATAAGATTTGGTGTTCCACGGGGCTCAGTTCTCGGACCGATCTTGTTTATTCTTTACACCTCTGAAATTATTGAGGCGATCGGATTACATGGTTTGGAGTGTCATGCATTTGCAGACGATATTCAGCTATTTGCCACAGATTCCTATAGCAACTTTCATCTTGCAGTTGATCGTTTTGTTAAATGTTTGGTCGAGATTGAGAAATGAATAGCAAATAATCGTTTTAAGCTCAATCAAAGCGAGACGCAAACACTTCTGATTGGAACTTGGCAACAGCTGTCTAGAATTGAAATTAATTCAGTTATCATTGAGGGCTCAAATATAAACTTCATACTCAAAGCTTCAAACTTGGGTGTCATTTTTGATTCTAGGCTGGCAATGACTGAACATATCGTTTTTATCTGGTACTGCAACCCTACAACTGCAAAAATTAAAAATAATCAGCAAAAGCTTAACCAAAGATGTTATTCAAAGTTTAGTGCATTCGTTTATTAATTCTAGACTGGATTACTGTAACAGCCTATTTTATGGTTTGCCTGAAAAATCGTTATCTGTGCTTCAGTCAATTCAGAATCGCGCAGCTAAAATCGTGGTTGGTGCAAACAAGTTTGATCATGTTACCCCGATATTCAGAGAACTGCACTGGTTGATGATCAAAAAAAGAATTTTGTTCAAAATATCAACAATCATGTTCAAATGTATGAAGGGAGTGGCGCCAGTTTATCTGAAAGAAATACATGCACCGAAACAACTGTCTTAAAACTGTCTGCTTAAGGTCTGATGATAGCAACTTGTTATGTGTGCCAAACCAAACCAACTTGAAAATGGCTGAGAAGTTTCTCAGTATGTGGACCAGCCGTTTGAAATAGTCTACCAAGTTATCTAAGACAGCCCGAACTGACTGAAAAATTGTTCAAGAAATTATTGAAATCATTTTTGTTTTAATTATAAGATTTGGTTTATCGTAACAATTCAACTGTTTTGTTTTGTTTTTTTAGACCGTGCTTTTAGACAGTGCTTTTGAGAAATATTTTGTTTGTAATTAGCGCTATACAAATTTTCGAATAATAATAATAATACTAATACATACATACATACATACATACATACATACATACATACATACATACATACATACATACATACATACATACATACATACATACATACATACATACATACATACATACATACATACATACATACATACATACATACATACATACATACATACATACATGCATGCATGCATGCATGCATACATACATACATACATACATACATACATACATACATACATACATACAACATTTTTTTTATGTTGGTCTCGCACAGACTGGTTAGTTTTTGAATTCTTAAAATAAAGTTTAAAATTAGTTATTTATTTATTACACTATCACTTGGTTTTAACCTAACTTTGATTTTACAATTTTGTATCTTGTTTTTCGTTATTCTTCTAATAATATTGGTCTTATATTAAGCGTTTCTCACTTTTAATTCACTTATATTCATTTTACAATTGTACTGCAAAATTTTTTTTTCTCATTTCACCTGCATACCTTAAGTTAAACGACGTTTATTTTTTTGTGTTTATATTTTACACTAAATCCCAACATAAATTCATTTTAATAAATCATCTAGGAAATTCATTCACTCATTCAGTCATTCATTTTTTCAAATATAATCTAAACTATGTGACAGCATATTTGTATACCAACTTAATTTATTCGTACAACAGCAAATTTCGTAATTTCAAGTTCTTACTCCCGTACACTGGCATACAGTTGCACACTTGCACGCGGTTTCCACTAATTTTTACAGAAAAAAAACTAAACATAAACAAAACAAAACAAAACAAAAAAACTAACTAAGTATTTACTTCTC